CGATCCTGTTCCGCCTGCTACTCAAGCCCCTATTTAAGTTCCTGACGCTCCTGCCAAGCCCGCCCATCCTCCTGCGGATGCGCTCCCTAGCCAGGTCGAGGCGAGAAGCACTCTGCTGGGTGTTCATGACACTGCAGGGCCATTCGCCGCGCCCAAGGACCTGCATACCGGTCAGTTCATATACGTCGACTGCACGGAGGAGGAGAGGGCAATGCTGCCCACGACCATCGGCTCACAGTTCGAGGCGGAGCGTGCTCTGGCCGAGCTGAGGACCGTGAGTCGCGTCGTCGGTGACCCGCGTGATTCCGAGGAGTACACGTACTGGGAGACATCTTCGCATGACACTCTCGCCTACGCCTTTTACAGCGTGCCGGATCAGTACAGGAACGTCCCAGCAGTGAAGTCCGCCTCGCGTATCTTTGACCAGATTCCCGACGGCCAGCTCGTGCGACCGGACAAACCGGAGCCTGCTGTTCTCCGCCTCAGCGCGGTGAAGGGCACTGAAGACACCCGGCGAAACCTCGAGAAGCTGAAGGAGGAGTCCATCAAGAAGAATATGGTCATCCTCGGCGCCAGGAGAGGCGAAGATATCGCCCCCAGGATCGGAAATACGATCGCTACTCTGTGCGCTAAGGTCGGGGATATTGCCCGATTCCTGGAGATGGGAGTGAGATCCAGAGCAGGACCTATCCTCCCGACCAGGAGTGACCCTGACCTGATGATCCAGGCCATTGTTCCCGCACCCGAGGAGCTTCTGGATTACTTCGCCGACGAGATCCGTCAGAAGGTGGGGAGTAGGACGGGCGCCTCTTCGCACTACTGCAGGAGAGCATGCGCGGAAATACGCGACGTGCTCCGTGGAACAGCCGTGCAGCCTGGAAATGCAGGCGCGGTCAAGGACCCAGAATTGGAGGCCTCGTCTGCCAGCGGGCAAGGGAACGTCACTTCGGTGATACAACTGAAGAAGTTCCTGAGCCACTACTTCGGGACCAGCGTCGAGTCTGAGGATGCCTTTTCATCGTACCTCTTGTCTTCTTTCCTCGAAGACGGGGTGGGAATGTTCGAGATCATCATCACCGTCATTCGTGACAAGGAGCGTCGATTGCTGCCTGGTTCCGCCCGCATAGCGGCGGTAAGGTCGCTTGAGATCGGATCCGACACTGATTACCGAGCATTTCGTGAACGATATCAATACATGCTCTACGAGAGCCCTGTTTGTCTTCCTATCACATCTAAGGTGGTTCCCAAGACACTCTACAAGGTGGTGCCTCTCCGGATGTATCGGCGGGCGATCATTCGGGGTGGGCGAGCTCTGATTGAGCTCCTTCCCTCCAGGCCGGATGAATATCAATCCCTCCGCGATCACGGTGAATGCCCCAACGACACTGTCGACCGCATCACTGACAGCAACGTGACGGAGCTGCACACCTCGGGTCGACGCCAGAGGAGCGATCCCCGATATGTGGTCATGGCTATCGATGCACGTTTCTTCTCCATGGAAAATGGGGGCATGCATATTACTCGTCAGGGTACCTTTGCATCGCGCGAGAACATCGCGATCGGGTACTGGAGATGCGTCTACTTCAAGGAGGACTGCTCCATCATTTACTTGAGGCCTTGGTGCTATCCGCCCAACTTCCTCAACTCCGTGAGTGAAAACCCGAGGAAGTGTCGGGACGAGATGGAGAAGTATCACCAGATCACCAAGGCGGAGCATGTCCGCGAGGTGCTGTCCGTTCCATGCCATAGGTGCATGACGGCCCACCCGATCGGCGCTCACCTATGCACCGCCTGCTACCTTCCCATCTTCTATGAGGGCGTCCTGCCCACCGGAGACACGAACGGCGGCCCTCGCACGATAGCGAGCACCGACGGGGTGATTCCCACCTGGCTGGCGAAATACGGGGGCGTCGTCCCCGCTCTGTGGAACAACGCAGACGCCAACGCCATCGGTATGGCCCTCTACTCACAGAGTCCCGCCGTTGATGCCCGGTCCTTGCTGATGTCTGGGATGCGACCTCCTAAGTACCTCGACAAAGAGGACGTGGACGGCATTTTCCGGAAACTTCACGACTCGCTCCGAGACGAAGTTCTTGACGGCAAGTACCGTGACACTGTTGACCACAATGTGGAAGAGTGGGTCGCAAAGGCGATCTTGGTGAGGGGTCTTGCCTTCAACGGGAGCTCCGTCCCCGACTTCTTCGAAGAATATGAAGGATATGCGGCTGAGTGGGGCAGACGCCTAACCACCGCAAACTTCAACGCCAACCGCTGCGGCTTTTACACGTCTTACTATATGGTCGAGGCCCATATCATTGGGCTGAGATCAGGGCACCTTTCTCCGATACTCCCCAACGATGTGTCCGGGGAGGCGTTCAAGGCCCAGGTGGAACTGCTCGCACAACACTGTGGGATAATGCAAGCCATGCGGAGGAAGGCCGGATTCGATCCCGCCGCGCGTCTCAAACAGGCTATGGGCGCGATACGGGAAGGCATAAAGAAGGGCTACGTCTACACGCTCAACGACCTCAGCAGTATGGATGAGCTGATCTACCGGACGTCCACCGTTGCCTACGACACATGCCTGGCCGACCGTCCGCAGACCCAGGACGACATCAAACAGGAGTTGGCCGATCCTGTACCAAGGAAGTACCGCTTCCGACCCCGCGATCGCCATCGGCCCGGAATCCGCCTTACACCAGGCCCCGGCGTGAAAGACGAAGACGAGCCCGACTTTGCTGGATCAGCGGAGGATGAGCTGGGATCGGATGGATCTTCGCACAAAGATGACGAGAAGCCTGACGACCTTGACGAGCCCATGGGCGACGATGAGGAGGAGATCCCTCCCCCTCCGCCACCGCCCCCGGCTCCTCCTGCACCGCCTGTCCCGGTAGAACCGGAGACTCCCGTGGTGTCTCACACAGGCGTCGGCTCTGGGGGTTCCGGGACCGCCCGATCGAAGACGAACCCGAGGAGTCGCGTCCTCGCCGGTAAAAGGATCCTTCTGGGTGTAGAACCCCTTGGTTCTGCCCCTTCTCTCCCCCCCTTCCGCACCGCTTCTCGCGGGGACCGGGGACGGACGGGCAGGCTGGGCCATGCTCTTAGAGCTGGGTTGCCCGCCAGGCGGGACGTGAACGCCCCCCTGCCCTTTCTCGGGCGCAGGGACCCGACCACGAGATGTCCTCCTGGCCTTGGGTTGGTCGGTGTCACCCTCCAGCTCGGACTCGGTGTCAGGGACACGAGTATTGACGGCCCCAGCCGTTGTAACGCCCGCAGCAATGGGAGCGGGGGGAGGAGGTGCGTCCCCACCACGGGAGGCCACTGGTTCCTTGGGCGGCCGTGGCGGCTATGACCCGCGCGATGACGACGACGAAGAATGGGAGCTTCCCCCGGGCGTGCCTCGGACCACTCGTGCGGCCAATGAGTCACGGCCCCACCGAGATGACGATCGATCAAGGACCGCGCTTGGGGCCCGCGAGGATCGTCGCGGCCCTAAGGGTGAGGGGAAGGGTCGAGGAAAACATCGACCTGGCAAAGGTGGACGCGAGGATCCTGGCCCGCCCCGACAAAGGGATGATCGTGGCAGGGATACCCGCGGAGGCCGACGCGATGATCGCCGACCTCCTCCACGTCATGAGGAGCCCTCCGAGAGGCGCGGTCCGGGGCGAGATGAGCGCCGCGGACGTGATGACCCGGCTGATGACCGTCGCGATCGCCACCGGGACCGGCGCAGGGATGACCGACGTCACCAATCAGATCCCCCTCCGCCTCGCCGACATCCGGCTGGCGACCACAGTAGGGGTGGTGGTGAGGATCGCCGTCGGGATGGAGGAGGCGATCGAGGTGACCGCGGTGGACGTCGGAGAGATGACGCACCCAGAGACCGGGAAGAACCCGGTTCAGGGTGGTAGGCAGGTACCGCAATCAGCATCCGCCTTAGAAGGGCGAGGATGGCACGCGTGTCGCCGAAAAACGCGACCGCGCCGATCCTCCTCTCGCCCATGCGGCACTGCTGGGGGTGATGGTCTCCATTGCCCTGTACCGCTGATCCGGCGTTGTTCGTGTTCCTCCCGCACCGCTGCCGTGCGCGCTGGTGACGGTTCCCCTGGCGATCCTGTGTGAGGCTGTGACCGCACTAGAAGTGCCGGGCCGGCCGTAGCCGGATATTTTTCACACCAATTTCGGAACGTCCTTTTCCTTTCTCCTCCCAACTCGGTTACTCCTCCAACCACATTACGGCATGCAGTGAGGCGCGGTGATCCAGATAGGGTCCCCCTCCGCATGTTGCTGTCCCATGACAATGCATGAACGGCACGAGAGGAATCTTCGTCTGGCTCCTCCAGTATGTCCTTGTTCACTCATGTGGCCCACTCGTCAAATAATCCTGTCGCCCCGCTAATTCGGGGTGGTGGCGGGATTTTAACTGGGGCCCGGGTGCTGCCGTTTGGCTCACCTCTGAGTTGACATCGGCATTTTTGGTTGGTTCCTTTCGTCGTGAACTCAACTGTCTCGCATCCTTTCTCTCGTCCAGATATCGGATGAGGGGGGTGTGTTTTGTTCACGTGTTGTTTCTTCATGTGGCAAAACGGCCGAATGGCCGTTTGGCTCAAGTTTTGCCCTCCCGTCAGGGGGGTCACGGAATCTCGTTGCGCCAGCCATAGTGCGGCTGACCGCTACGCCGTCGGGAAAAGGGTCCTGGCGTCGCTGTGGTTAGGCACTGGGAGGTGGGCGGAGGATCTCTGCGTGATCATCCTGGGCTTGGACACAAACTTCTCTTCTTCAACCTATTTCCTAACCTCCCCAAACTTGATCTTCATTAACTGTCACTCCCACAATCTGGTCACCGGCGCCTTCTACATTGTGCTTTGGGACTGGGTTCTTTTGGTACTTCGTGAACCACGTGTACCTCTTTGATTCCCTGGGCTACTTCGTGTTCGCCCAAAACCGCAGTTTGAAGCAGCGTTTGTTGCAACAGAATGGGAGGGAAGAGCGCTTGTTGCATGCGCGGTGTGCCACCAGCAGATCAGCTGAGGTTCGGGCCACGCATTCCTAGACACCTGGTTGAGCCTCGCAAGAAGCTTCCCTTTGGTCCGCTGGCACTGTGGGCGCCAAACGATCCGGAGGAGGTGACGCGGCTCTACTTTGAGCAGAGTGGTCAAAGCCACTTGGCAGGAAAGGCTTGGAGACTTCTGGGTTAGCCTATCAGAAAATCTCACAAGGTAAAGTGCCCTATTTGCCTTGCAGCACGGCGTAATGGCTTGAAGCTGCAAAGCGGAACAGCCATTCTGGAGGGATCGATTCGGAACAATGAGATCCGCATTGGCTGCTTCAATGATGTTGGTTGCAAAGCCGCAGGATTGCCCAGTAGAGGCTTGCACAAATATCGAGGTTCTACTTACTTATTACTTGGCTTTTTTTCTTGACCGTAGCTGGCTTCTTTTTTTTTTCTTTTTAAAGTTAGTCGGAGTTTTCCAATCCAGCGCTGGGACATGCAACATCCCGAAGGCTGGCTTAGACTAGGCTTTGCTCGAGGTTTTGTGTTTGGATTGGCTTGGGGCAACGCAAGATGAAGTCAGTCTCTCTTCCTGTGCCTTTTCTGTGCAGATGGGTGCAGATTGGTTTCGGGTAGTTCCAGCGTTGGTTCGCACGCCTTGCCGAGGCACGGACTTCATGAACATCTGCCGAGGACGAAAAGTGCACGCCCGCAGCGAAGAGTTTGACCTCGAGGCCAGAGCGATGGGCGCCTTCCGTCAGGGCCCTTCGCATGTCGAGCTGCCCGGGTGAGAATGCCCGCGTCTCAATCCCCCCCCCTCGTTTTGCATTTGACCACTTTCAATGGTGAGCTTCAGGTTGAATATCTACGTGTTTGTTGCTGTGCCGCCCTTCGTTTGTTGCCTCCTGCGCCATGCATTCATGGTGTGGTCATGCGCAGTGCGATGACCATCATGCATGACTTGTACATTCATGCAAGTGCGGAGCATACTTGTTGCTTCAACCCAGTCTCATTGCACACTCGCCTCGCGACGTGTTTTCTTATTTGCTTGATTTACGCGCCTGGCCACAAGCAGCCCTTGCGGCGATTACCGACTGTGCATGTTCCAAGTGACACGAGGGCTTGCAGCACAGACAAATGATGCTCTCCCGTTTGTTTTTCGGATCGCTAAAGGAAGTGCAATCGCGAAAGTTGAATTCGGTATGAGCTTGAACCAGCATTCCACATTGGATCGACTGAGCTAAGTAAACAAGACATAAATCCGATGGGATGTGTTTTCAAGTCTTACTTCAAAAAAGCTGGATCTGAATTAGAGAGCAGATGGGATCGTATCGTATAAGTAGAATTGATTCAGAAAGCAAATGGAAGTGCACAAGGACATAGAGCACCTAGACTATGACAGAGCTGTTTGAGGCTCTTCGAAGCTGCCACAGTGTACTGTGCGTACTACTCTTGTACTGATAAGTTGCGTTTGTCGCTTACCGCAAGTGGATGAAATTCAGGATTCATGATGCTGGAAAAAGTAGCGAATCTTGAATTCCATTTACCTCAAAGTGGCCGCAGAGTCACGTGCTCAAGACTCAAGGTTCTGAACAAAACAACCACAAGACGCATAAAATGCATTTGTTGGCAGGTTTTAGCCCGGGGGCATAGCATATGTATATATATAATACATACACACATAGAGATGTATATCGTTCGGTTGGCGTCAATTCAGCTTTGAACGCGGGGGTGCTTGAGAATGGCAGGTGGCCCTTTTTTCAGTGGAATCTGTGGAAATGTGCTGGGATGGGGGGGGCGCTAGAAGCTTCACATAGTTCTACAGGTGCGTTTGGAGAATCTTGGGGCAAGGAGGACTCCTGCCTACGGCGGGCTGCGCGTGCTCCGACGCCTGACACTCCTTGTTCGCAAGCTTTGGGAAGCCACGGGCCTGCCACATACAGGGTAGGTGTGATTCTTGCGTTGGCATTGAACAAAGACGAGGGCCCTCAGCACCAGCATCCACCATACTTCTGGGCAGGTCTTCCTGGAAGCGGAGCGAACTTCTTGGTTGTGGCAACGGTGTTTTCCAATGACTTCCCACTTGGCTTTGGTGTCCTTCCCGTGTCAGGTGCCCTGCGCTCAGCTCGCCACGCTTGCCACCGCTTGGGCCCCGCTGCCGCTGGAGGGCGCGGAGGCGCAGGAGGTGATGCAGACTTGCGAGCATCTACTCCAGGAGCCGGCGCTTTGAGTTTCCAATGCACTTTGTGCAGTAAAGGCAGACCTATGAGTGGCAACGCCCATGAACGTCCAACTTAGACTTGGCTTTGGTTTTTTCCATGTCTAGCTTTGCAGTCTGAGTATGAGGGCGGTTTTGTTTGCGATCGTGCAAGGAGCGGCTGCCAGGGCTAACGGCCAGAGATGGCAGCCGAATCCATGAGGTTCTGCGGGCGGATGCTGCAACAGAAACGGCAGAGCTGTCTGCCAGGTACTTGGCACGGTGGCAGGCAGGTCTTGGGCCAAACTTGGGATGAGTCTGCAAGATTGTGCTGGGAGAATGTTGGTTCAGTAGTCAACTTGGTGCCACCTGGCTGCGCCCTGCCCAGGGGACCAATGCAGACCTGGGCCCAATGATTTGCACTGCGTTGCTATGGCGGGGCGATCCGGAGGAAGACTTGCGACACCCCGGCGCATTGCTGCTCGGAGGTTCAAGCGGTGTGGTTTACCAACACCTTGCACATAGTTTCAGCGATGCATGCGCGCTAGTCCCGCCAATTGCGTCCACGTGCCAGAAAACCAAGCAAACACACACAAGGAGCAGGAGCCAGCGCACACCACAGCCATCAAATCTAGCATATCCATTTGTAAATACATCATGTATATCTAGTTTATTTACTAAAAGGCTGCAGAAATAAGATCTAAGACTTAGATTTAAGTACGTAAAACAACACATCCATCATAGCTTATAAATGAATCTGTGAACGTAAGATCATTCTTGGTAATGACTTTAAGCTAGCATCTATTGTTTCCATAGTAGAGTCTGTAGTATCACTAGCTATTTCCTGTGCAGCCTGATAAACAATCCTTAAGAAGTTTAATTATAGACTTAGAGAAAAATAATTCAGCAGAACTCTCACCCGCATGAGGTCCGCTTGAAACCTCAAGCGCGTAAACATGTTTTACACTTTAAATTTGATAAAACTAAACGAAACAATTATTTCCGAAAGATGTCAAGTTAGTTTTCATAAAACATAACATCACCCCCTAAATGCAAAGTAGCGCCTCTCTTTGCAGCCAGCTGAGGACCAGCTTGCCAGTGAGATCATTGGTTTGTGGCCAGCAAGGTGTGGAACCACACTTTGTTTGGGAGGAAGGATGGCTTTGAGCAAAAAGAGGGTGCCGAGCTTTCAGAGCGCGGCAGCATCGGCAAAGCGATGGTTGTCTTAGCACGGCAATTGGTTCACCCTGGGCTGGGAATTTTTAAACAGGATTCAAGCAGAGTGAGATAATTGTTCAAATTGGAGCCTGTGCCAGGGCTAGGCGGGCCCACGCTGCTTGGTCCACGTGCCGGTCAAGGATTGAAAGACATCAGAGGAGCACCATGCCTTTATTCCTTCGTATGTTCGATTTTCTGAAGCAACTCGAATACCTATGTTGAGACAAGATTCGCTCGAATGTTGGCCAGGCAGGTTAGGATGGAGACAGCCCAGGGCTGTGCTGAGGTGATGGAGGTCATAGCGGGCAAGGCTGGTGATTTTGCGGTGTTTTGCAGCTGGTGCCAGCCCTCAGAATGCCTCTGTTATATGTGAACGAACTTGGAAACACACCTTAGACACCGGCTCCGGTGCTTTCGCCTACTCATGAGGCGATGTAAATTCATGGGTTCAGATGCTTCAAGGGAAAGCGTGCAAAAGTTCGCACCCTTTGCACCTGCCAGCCGCTGGACGTGATCATGGAGGAGCGCCTTTGCGGGCCTCTGAAGATGCGGGACACGGGGTTCAAGGTGCCCAAGGACGGAGAGAAAGCAGAGATCGGATCTATGTGAGCGCAAGAGCCAGAAACCGCTGGATTGACTACAGCTATTTAGCTATGGAAATCGTTGGCCAGAAGGACTGCTGGCAACGCTTCAGGGCTTTGACAGTGCCAGCCCTTGGGCCTCTAGAGCTTGGCTGGACGTCACGCTGCACATTCCTGCACCTTTGCAGGAGCAGGCGAGCAGATTGGGGCCTGAGCCCTGGTTGGCTCAGGACACATCATAACATGTCTTTTGTTGAGCCCCCCTCGCTTGGGCCTCTTCGGGAGCAGAAGTTCGATACATTGGTTGACCTCCCCCGAGCCCCAGGCCTTGGTACAAGAGCGTGGAGATCGATGGGAAGCCTCAGCTGGCGCACCGCAAAGCACTCAGCACTACAATGTCGTTTCTGCAAGAGGGCACTTTGCTGGCACCATTGCTGCGCCTGCTTGCTTCCAGTTGCTCTGCTTCGCCATGAATTGCTTTGCATTTGCTTTGCCTTGCCTAGCTTAGCCTTGTGCCTTGCCTTGCTTTGCCACTGCCTTGCCTTGCCTTGGTCCTTCTTTTGCGGAGCCTCTTTGCCTTGCCTTTCTTGCTCTACTTTGCTTGGCTTTGCCTTGCTTTGCCTTGCCTTTGCCTTGCTTTGCCTTTGCCTTGCCATGCCTTGCCTTGTCGAGCCTTGCCTTGTTTTGCCGTGCCTTGCCTTGCCTTGTTTTGCCCTCAGTGCGTTCCTTTGCTTTGCCTTGCATTGCTTTTGCTCGCTTTGCCTTACCTTGCCTTGATTTGTCTTGCTTTGCGATTGCTTGTCTTGCCTTGCCTTACCGTACCGTGCCTTCCTTGTTTTGCCTTGTTTTGCTTTGTTTTGTCTTGCCTTGAGTTAGCTTGCTTTCCTTTGCTTTGCCTCATCTTGCTTTGCCTTGTCTTGCATATCTTGCCTTCCTTGCTTTGCCTTGCGGCTTGGCTTGCTTTGCTTTGCCTTGTTCCTTACCGAGCCTTGCCTTGCTTTGCCTTGCCTGTGCTTGCTTTGCTTGGTTTGCCTTGCCTTATGTTGCCTTGCCTTATCTCGCCCGAGCCTTGCCTTGCCTGCTTTTTCTTTGCTTTGCTTTGCTTGCGGTTCTTTGCTTTGCCTTGTCTTGCTTTGTATTGCCATTTCCTTATCTTTGCTTACCTTGAGTTCCTTTGCTTTGCCTGCTTCGCCTTGCTTTGCTTTGCTCTTGCTTTTGCCTTTTTTGCTGGTTGCTTGCCTGCCTGCCTGCCTGCCTGCTTGCTTGTTTGCCTGCTTGCGCAAAACTGTTAGGGGACGCCCCAAGAACTGCAATCCATTGTCCGGAATGAGTGCAAGATTGGTGTTCCATTGGCAAGGCACTTTTTGCAAGCACAGACCAGCAGGAGAGGTAAAAGCAACTGCGCAAGAGCCCAGAATGCATTTGGCAAGCTCATTTTTCCAAAGTTGCAGCCATTGCTTGACTGACACCCCAACCGATACCCGAATGAGGGTGGCCGATGCCCCTACATCATTTGGATGATGTTTGGCTACATGGTTGGTGTTTGGCTGCGGGTCCATTAGCCCATTTGGTTGAGATGGACTCGTTTGGCCTGTGTTGAAATTGTACTGCAAATCTTGCGATTTTAGAGCTGGAGCAGTCAACGTGCACGCGCGAACAGTTGCGACTGTCAAGCTTGAGCTGCAAACATATAATTTGCACGCTACGCTTGCATTGAAAGCTTGTGATTTTCGAACTGGCGTACTTGGCTTGCTAGACTTTTGGAAACTTTCGGTTTCGAGCGTAGTTGCGACGTTCGAGGTGGAGCTCCCAATGTAAGCTGAGCACAGGTAGGGGACGCCCCCCAAATCACCGATGGTTCACAGACATCGCACCGAGCTTTGAGCCTTCAGAACTTGAAGGGAAGCGTCCCAAGAGCAGCGGCCAAACCATGTGGCCATTCGCCTCGCTTGAGCCAATCGCGATTCAAGGACTGGAGGTCGTGGATCCTGGAGGTGAGGCAAGTGGATGGGCTGGCGCCTAAGCCCAGAGCATGAGGTGCAACATCCAGATTTTAGTTTTTTTCTACTTGTCTTTCTCATGGTCCCACCCCACGCTCAGTCACAGCTCAACGATTCCTTGAGATGAGCTGGCGTCGCAGATGGCCGAGGGCAGGCCCCGCGAAGCTGAGTCTCAGGTGGGAAACAACACTGCCAAGGTGCTGCCTGGAGCCCAGCTGGGATGCTGCCATTCGATTGGCCTTCCAGCGGGCAGATCGCAAACTTGTAAGGAGTATGGCAACTGAAAGGTTGGATCAAACTGCCGGAAATCAAGGTGGCAAGACCACTGGCAACTTGTTTGTCAACTTGTTGAGCCAGCTCCAAACAATGTTGACATATGTTGACGTGGCGACTTCCGGGCGACATTTGCCAGACAGCCTTACGAGCATGCTGTCAAATGAAGCATGTTGTGTGGATAAAAATGCTTCAAAAAGGGTAAGCAGGTCACTTCTGCTTTGAAGCAAATCCCCGGCTTTGCTTTTGCTCCCGTCTGCCTTAGGTCTGCGGGTGGCACCGTAGATGTGCCACTTAAGATGAGAGGTGGAATGGTTGCAGCCTCGGCGTCAAGGTACTGAAGGGCCGGTTCACACAGAAATTATGTGCATGGATGAGGGCTGTATCCGTTTTGTAGTGGGAAATGTGGGAATGATGGCAGCTGATCAGATCTGGTAGAAGTGCGGAATACTTTCACTCCATGCCTTGCTTGCTGCTCTGTTTTCGGTCGTGCCATACTTGCAGACTCTTTGTGCTTCCAATTCGGAGAGACCGTAAATGAGAGACAGAGAGAGGCGGTCTTCCGTTTGTTGCGTGCGTTTCCGCTGAGGTGAGCACTTTCAATGATTACCTCCGGTTCCTTCTCATGATCCGGAATTTCGGGGAGCCGGGGCCTGAAGGATCCTGAAGGCCCCCAGCATCCAAATTGCGCCGGCCGTTTTGTTTTTCTTCTTCTCAGACTCCATGCACTTCCAATTTGAGGCTTGATGGCGTGCGGGTGCTGAAGCGAGAGACGGTGCAGATGATGCCATGTCCTCAGCTGGTCTTTGGAGTGCAGGTTTTTGCTTGGAATGTTCCAGCGGGCTTCGTCTTGGCCTTGATTTCTGCGGCCTTTCGCCTTACGTTTGGTGCCAGTCCCCAAGTACTGGTTGCGAGGATTTGCAATCACATCCCTGTGGCCGGGAGCCAAGTTTCCCACGACAGTTCAGCGGAATGGAGACATCAGGAATGGAGAGAGTGTGGGCGCATGCCGCCACAACGTCGTTACTTGTAGCGGGTCCTCCTGCTGCCTTGTCAGCCCACCAACTGCTGACAATTGATGTTTCGAGAAGTTTGGCTAGACTTTACTCCAGGGCGTTCAACTTCTTTGGCGTTACCCGTGTCACGGGGTTCCGATTTTGTGTTGCACCTTCTCACCTGAGGCCTGCTACGGGAAGAAGAGCGTGTTTGTTTTCGACAAGCCTGGGGTTGGCTACAACTGCAGTGGGGCCCAGCTGAACAAGACCTTGGCTGAGTAAGTTTTTAGTGAGCCTTGTACAAGAAGGTAAGACGAGACGATTTCCTTTGTCGAAAGGAGCATTGCTAAATGGTGTGCTGCCTTTCTGACAACTTCGCTTCCTCTTGGGCCCTTTCCCGATCGATGTTTTACTCAAAGGCTTGTTGTCGCATCGCTACCTAGCCTTGTTTGACGAACATTTCGGGCGAACGGGTCTCCTGCGATTGCTCGTGTGGAACCTATGTGTTCCCGCAAATGCTGCTTTGCAGCATTTGCCGACACAATGTTTTGTTGCTCCCATGCAGGGCCTGCACTATGTTGGCGCAGTTACGGAGCCACTCAGGTCTGGGGCAGATTCAAGCTGCTCACCCAAAGCAAGATCGAGGCAGCGGGCAGCAAGCTGTTTAGCGTGCTTGACACATGTTTAAGTTTCTGCGCATGTGCAAATAGGCAAGCGTCTTTGTTGCGCAAGTAGCGAGGAGGTGATATGCTGGGCGTTTCAAGGGGAGGCTCAGCTTGTACGGGGCAGCCTTAGTGGCAAACCCCTAGTGGCCAGCAGCCCCCATTTTAAACTTGGAGACCAGGAGGTCAAGTGCTCGCTGCCTGAAGCGTCACATGTTTATCGCCCAGCGCCGTGCCCGCGCCGCAGAGAATCGAAGGATCTATCGGATATCTATTGTCTCACAAGGCAACGGCACCGACCAATTTCTGCAGCGATTTGCGGACATGCGCTTGCCCCAGTATATGGGGCTCATCTTGTTGCACGGCGAAGCCTCGGCAAAGCATTACATTCGCTTAAGGCAGAAGCCAAAAAGTGGTTTCCTGCGTTCCCCGCATTTCCCCGCCATGGCATCCACATCCATGTCCACGCTGCGGGAGCTGTCGGAACTGCTGGAAACCCACGAGCTGAAGCCGCTTGCAATGGTTAGCTGAGTCCGGGTGTGGCTTGAGGCCTTGGGGGACGCTCCGTTTCAGGGCAGTCGCCAAGAGAAGATCCAATCAAACATGGCCTGCCTTGACCAGCCAAAACGCAAGCAAACAAAAATATCGCAAAACACACTTTGAACGCGCGCCGCGTTGGCCAGTATCGGAGCTTGGGACAGGGAGGGCTTTTGGCAGGAAGATGTTCACAGATGTATCCCGGTATGTGGGCTCGTCAAGGCATATTGCGGACATGTGACGCAGCAGCTTGTAAGTTGGCACAGAAGTTCTGGAACTTGAAAGGGAGGTCTTTGTGCTTTTGTTTGCCATCCACGCGTCAGCGCATGCCGCACGTCTAAGGATGCAAGTGCTGCTGGCTGCGAGCTCAAGCCACGGGGGTGCTTTTACCTTGATGTGAAGTTCACCCGAACCCTTAAGCGCTTGAGCCGTTGGGCCGTTGGCCTATCCAGTGTTTTCACCTGGCTGTCTTTCTTCTTTTTTTTGGCTTCATTCGCCGATTCCTCCCCGAGCATTTGCCGCCGTTTCGGCGTTTCGGCTGCAAGACCTTGAAGTGAGCGAGGCGGAACAGGGCAGAGCAGTGCAGGAGTCTTTGGAGCTGCTGTTCAAAGATGCCAGGCCCCGGCCCCCGACTCTCTCACTTGTGATGTTTGGCACTGCCAGTCTTATCAATCCCGATTGCCAGGCAAAGCAATAGCAAAGCTTCATGAAAACGATGAGCTGTCATACGCTGCAAAAATCATTTGCCGCGACAACATGTGGAAACCCACACGTTGGAAAATTGTGCACAGACTGTTTGTCAGTGCTGCATCCATATTTTTACGTGGCTACTGTCACCTACGGGAGCACTGGATCCCCGCTAGGATGCATTCCTGGAAGGAGCCCAGCGAGGCCGGGGGATAGCTGTGCCTGCCGTTTGCTTGACATTGGGCGGGCGCAAGCCTGGAAACTCCAGCTCATGACATTGAGAGCAAGTGAGCAGGCCATTCTTCGGGGGTTGTGCAGCTCACTTGAGCGCGGCCAGGCCCGCGTGCGCTTTGCCGATGAAGGCAGGGCTGAGCTTTGGCCCATTCGCGTGTGCAGCTTGCGCAATCCAAGCTTGACGACCCGCCAAATGGCGTGTTGACTTCCCCTGGCCCGGGCCCACGCCTTAAGTCTCCGGACATGACCACGAGCATTCGACAGGCTCCAGCCAGTCCAACGAGACGGCCAAGGATAGATATGACACAGCGGCCGTGAGCCCCGTGGAGGGACATGCAGGAGGCCCCAAGCGGGGACTGAGGTGACGGAAAGCAAGGGTTGCTGGGGAATCGTAGCGTGTTTTGCTTGGGATGCCGCTGCTTGGGATGCCGCTGCTCCGTCAAGGGGGCTTGGGAGATGTGGCAGGCAGCAGCGAAAAAAGCGACGCGGACTGCCGTGAACAGCAACCTGGCAATGATCGGCAATGCTAGCACGTATAACGCTATAATGAGCACAGTCGACCTTGGATGAATAATTTGACACCAGCCCACAAGGCCGATAGCAATGGAAAGTGGTTTGCAAGGTGAGCAGTTTGAGTGTACTTGCTAAGTCTGCAGGGGTTCAGGGTTCCACGCCCTGGCAGGATATGCCACAGTTGAGCATGCTGTTTGCCAAGGGATCCCCAAGTGCTTGAAGCCGAGCAACACGACAGATCGTCCAAATGCAAACAGCTTTGTGTTGCCGCTCGCCTAGGCCAGTAGGCAAGTGCCTGGGCCGCGATTGAGGAGTCACGCCTGATCCTCCTCAAGAAGGTGTTGGTTTCCCAAAGGTGCAAAAAGGACTTTGGATGCAATGGCCAAAGGGGCCTACGCCGTACCGATAGCCAAGGTCGAGGAGTGACAATGCCATTCTGGAATCTTGGACCACATAGAAAGTTATTCAATATTGCTCAGCAAAGGGGGAGTGGGATGTCCTTCCATTTTTCCCTCAATTCTACGCACCCGCCCGCCTGCCCGCCAGGATGCCCGCACCCTGCCTGTTTGCCTGTTATGTGCTTGCTCATGCGTGAATATGCATGCATGTAAAGTAACGCAATGAAATGTAAAGTAGTAAAGGGGAAGCACAGACATGTCCATCGGGCAGACAACAGTGCTGCGTGATGGCTTGAATCCTCCTCAGACTCAGAAGATGTCCGGCACAGCCTCCGGAGTCAAGAAGTAAAGGGAAGCACAGAAATAGCACGCATCACAATGCAATACATTGCAATGCAACATATGCAACGCAACACGTGCATCTAGGCAGGCAGGTAGGTCGGTAGGTACGTCTGAGTGTGAAATGTATTGCATTGTAATGTTATGTAGTGCAACGCAATGTGATGTAGTGTAGCGTGGTGTAGTGCAATGTAGCAAAATATAATGTAATGTAATGTAACGTGATGCAGCATGGGGTGCTGGTATGTCATATGTGTGCGCTTTGCATGCATGATTGTTTGTGTGAACACTTGTTGTGCGTGTTTGTGGCGCTGGGTGTTTGTGTGTGTGTGTGCGTGTGTGCGCCTGTGTCCGTGTGTGCGCGTGTGTACGTGTGTGCGCGTGCGCGCGCGCGTGCTCGTGTGCCTGTGCGTGTGTGCGTGCGCGTGCGCGTGCGCGTGCGCGTGCGCGTGCGCGTGCGCGTGCGCGTGCGCGTGCGCGTGCGCGTGCGCGTGTGTGTGTGTGCGTGTGTGTGGTGTGGTGTGGGTGTGGGTGTGTGTGCGTGTGCGTGTGTGTGTGCGCGTGCGCGTGCGCGTGCGCGTGCGCGTGCGCGTGCGCGGGTGTGCGTGGGTGGGTGTGGGTGTGTGTGTGTGTGCATGTGTGTGTGTGTTTAAATTTGTGTCGGAGAGGAGGGAAAAAACGCTAGCCCAGCGGGTGCGACAAACTCACCCTTGACAATGAACACGACGTGTTCATCACTGGTTCAAATATCCCAGGTTACTGTCGCAATCACACAACCTGCAGCCCTCATTTGAAATGTTTGTGTGAGTTTCTCTGCGTGTGTCGGTGTGTTTTTTGTGTGTTGATGAATGTGATGCGTTTGTGTGTGTGTGGGTGCGCCAAGCCTGCACGTGCAGTGTGCGTGTCGGTGTGGCACTGTAGGTGTGTGTGTGTGTGTGACCCACGCTGTCAGCCTAACTGGTGTGCTCCTCTTGGTGTTCAGTACGTTTCTTTCACGATTCGTCTGCGGTTTCAATACGGTTTCCACAGCATGTTGTTTACATGTTGTTTTCATGGTATCCGTAAGCACCCTCCTCCGAAGAATGCAAAGTTCTCCCGCCTGAAAGCGGGGGTGCCGGAATCGGTTAAAACAATAATACACAAATCGCAGCCAGTGGGACAGATTCTGATGGCACGCGAGGGAGAGAGAGAAACACATTGCATTGCAGATGAATTGTACAACAAACCGTGGTTTTTAATAAATAACATTTACGGTTTTGTTTTTCGATTTCGGCTACATATGCGATGGTGTTACTCTTTTTGTGCGTCCTTGTTCTTAACGACTTCCCAGGACTCCAGTTTCCTCTTCCAAGAACCTCCAAGATGGTATACCAGAAGCAAACAGGTGTAAACAAATTGTAAACCCGGCGCACCAAAACATGAATGACAATCTGACCAAACAAGTATCTAAAATTATCTAAATCGGGGGGAGAAAAAAACATGGCTTCACTTGACTTACCTTACACCGTAGGTCACACCCCCTGCTTGAAACATCTTGAAAGCACTGACAGACCTGTTAATTACGGCCTCGAAGCATTCTTGGGAATGACCGGGGGGGGGGGGGGAAGCAGGTAACGCCGATGCTCCTTGAACTGAGGAGCTGACATCAATGACGGAGCGGCAGCTTGGCATCGATCCGAAGAGCCGAAGGTGGTAAGGGTGGAGTTAAGGAAACGGAACCGTTGGAGGAAGCTGGTGCGATGTGAGTACCAACGTGCCATGTCCCATTTTATCAGCATTCCGGGATTATTGACGGGTTTTCCCCAAGCCCAAGGCACAGCAGCCGTGCCATGGTTACAGAGACCCACCTGAACATCGACAATGTGAAGATTGAGAAGCGGAAGCCGGAGAAGCAATTGACAGGATTCCGCAAGAACGTCTTTGACTTTTTGCAATCAAGCGCCTCGGACGTGCCAAGCTTGATCTTGCAAGTTAACGTCTTGGTGGCCAGCCCTAGTGACATGAATTATGTCGCAGACGCGAACACTGCAGGCCCGTGCGAGTACACGGTCGCTCTCATCATCGTGGCAAACTCTGCGATGCAGCCTGGCAAACGGCAACGGCACGCCCACCAGAAGTATTTGAACAAGGAAAGATGCGTTTGTGCCCCTGTGCAGATGCAACATGTGTGTTTGGCTATAAATAACTCTGGAGACTTGAAAGGGGGGATATTGCCACCGTCGTTGTGCGATAGTTTGCCAGCCGGTGTGCTCGGGCCATTTCCTGGCTACCATGCTTTGCCGTTCCTCCAAGCTTGTTTTCGGGACAGCCTGAATCCGTGCCCACCAGCGCTTTGCATTGACCGCGTGCGAACGTGTCCCATAGGATCTTGGCCTCTATTGACACACCTGTCTACTTTTCGTCCCAGTAACGCCTGGTGCTAACCAACTCGAACTTCCAAGTTCAGTTGCGCCCGCTTACCAGGTTCAGATGAGCAAGGCCTTGTGAGACGAACTCTTTGGGAGGCGTGCGACCCAAGGTTTGGTGTACAAGCAGACTACTCCGTCAAGTACCCCGGCCAGCCCCCTTCAGATGCTTTCCGGATTGTGAACCAGGCCAGGGATGACCCAGCAGCCAAATATTGCTGACTTGCAACCAGTGAACCCTGCTGCTGTGTTGCGTGTTCGTGAAGATCCAGGACGTTTTGCAGTTTAATCGAGCTTTGACTTGAGTCCAGCCATTCATATGATATGCTTTGCTGAGCGGAGGCCTTCAATATTTTTTTCGTATTGGAGCTGACCCTGCGCATCATCGCAGACGGTGTCACCTTTGCAACCCGGCTGCAAGCTGATTGCCAGGTTAAAGCGGGTGATAGGCTGCTGAAGGCTTCCAATGAATTGCTGTCGGGTGACTGACGCTGGTCTGTGCATAAGGTATCATGCTGGAATCCAGATTTCAGGCCTGTGCTGCTTGACATGTGCCGCAGAACAGGCATCTTTGCGCGATACTTTCAGATGACGTGCCGTGCCATTCTACAAACTGTTTTGACAGCCAAAGGTGCTCACCAACGAAACTCCGCCAATTGCAGGATCCATTCCTCCCAACCGCACTTTGCAATATGTTGGGCCAGAAATCGTCCCCAGCATTGTAACTTTGGTTGTGTATGAGCCTTCCAAGTGCGCCTCATTCTCATTGTCTCAGTGCAAAGACAAGTAAGAAGCTTGCCATTACTTTGCCACCAGAGCGATACTTGTACTCTTTGACTTGGCCCCGATTTGCCGCCAGATGGAACGTGCTGGACTCGCTGTTGGTGAGCTTGTCCATTTTCGAGGAGATCTATTCCAATATATCCATCGGTGACACCAATCGATTGGACATGATGCTTGGCTTGAGGTTTGGCCGTGCATGAACAGCATCACCGTGGTTGCACCGGTTCCTTTCACATGTGTTTTCAGAGCCGGTGGCCAAACCACATGAAACGCAATAGGCTCCTTTTCCAGCAACATGTGCCCACGACCCATGTTGGTTGCATGGCTGGGGCAGTTGGGTGCTTTAAGGACCTCTGCGCGCGTGATGCGGCTCTTGAGGCAAGGAGGGGGCGTGTTTGGTTTCAAGCTCTGGTTGATTTGGTGGAAACGCTCTTGTAGGAGCCGTTTGCCTTTGATATGCGCGCAACCGTGCTTGGTCACAGGCTGGGAGAATATTACCTCAAAGAAACTGAAATTTCATCATTTGAATTCACTAGGGCAATGTTTGCCAACAGGCTGGACAGGGGATCCAGGTTGGCTCCTGCACCAAACTGCCAACGCTTTGCACTTGGGTAAACCTGGCTGGGTGTTGATTGTGCCAGGCATGAAAAAGCTCACCCCCGCCCCCAAGCCGCAACCATTCAGCACCGATGCCGGGATGGTGGTGTCATATTTGGGTGTTGCTTGGAGGTTCTGCGAGGGTTTCTGAGGGATGCAAATCTGGAGTGTGGCTGCAGCTTAGCAATGCAGTGTGCGAGCGGTTGGGCAGGTTGGTCAGAGTCGTGCGCGTGTTTCGGGTTCTACGCTTTTTCGCGGACCTGCGCATCATGGTCATGGGCATCTTGTCCTGCATTGATGCCACCTCATTGGCTGCACTGTGCCCGGCAGGCTTGGTCCACTTGGCACCGTGATGCATACAGTACTTATGTTCACAACTGGGAGGACTTATGCGTACCTCGTTATGGTTCACACTTAAGTTTGATTTTAAGCACCCACAGGCTTGTTCCCAATCCACAGCCCACAGCGGTGAAGAGGTGTTTCACATGCTGCACTTGGAAGAAGCATTGCCCAGGCATCATGGGGTCGTTCAAAGCTCTGGTGTGGGCTTTGCTGCTGCTTTTTATCATCATCTACGTGACTGGAAGCTTGTCAAAATGTCACTGGCCGTTTCGCGGCAGAAAGGACCAGACGGGACAAGAAGCCAGGCACGTTGCCTGAGAGAGCGGCTTTATTAAGTGTTTGTACCCTAAAGAAGCCAGAGAGGGCCAGAATATGACTTGGCTTGTGCAGTTTGCCCAGCGAAGCGTTTCAATCAACATCCAGGGAATGGGTGGAAAATTGGATTGGCCCTGAACGGATTTCAGGAATCATCATTCTGCAGTTTGTCGCAGAAGCTGCAGGCAATGGATGGGCCAGGCTCTCAACAGAGCCGGCAGTCAAAGATATTCAAAGAGAAAACAGAAAGATTGCGGTGCTTTTGCCAAAGTTTAGCGTCAAGGTGGCAGAGTCTAAATGGCAAAAACATGTTTCGATTGGAGCGCAAGCCCGGAAGTGGTGATGTAACGTAGATCTACTGGTAGATTACCTGCGTCGAGAGGTGCCACCCGCATTTGAAGCTTTCTGAGTGTCAAGTCGGCGCTGGCGTCGGTGCTTTCGTCATTGTCGCCGTTGTTGTGGTGGTCGTGGTGGCTATTGTTGCTGATGCTGTGAAGGCGTTTTGGAAATGGACCTCCCCCAGTAATTACTCCAATGACTGGCTCAAGTGTGCAATGGCACTGGGCTTGCCAAAAATACGTCAGCCAATCACGGTAGTGGCACCACTTCAGCAAATGTTGATTCATGTCGTTTCAATTTGTGCAGGTGCCATCAAATATGTTTTTCCAGCTTTTTAGCTGGTGACTGACGCTTGACAAGATGTTGATAGTTTGTTCGGACCATGCACCGGCCAGCAGAAACTAAGGCAGAACAAAGCTTGATGCTACAGCAAGATTTGCTCGCCAGGAGTTTTCCGATGTCCCATGCATTGGGCATTGCGGAAAGCATTGCCACCTTCAGGCCATGCAAACGACTCTACCACAGCAAAGCCAGCAAAGCAACAAGCACAAAGCAGAGACAGACATGACTGCAAAGATGACAGTGCAAATGATAATGGGAACTCAGGTTCTAGGGTAATTAAAGATGTAGAGTTCAGGATGTGCCTCATTTCACATGTGCCAGGCTGCAGGCGTCAGGACATTTGAGTGTTGGGGAGCAAGGATGACAATACGACTCTAGGGTTTGGGGTTCTGGGCATTTCGGGTTTGAGGTTTAGGGTTTATCTCCATGTTGAGCGCCAAGCACTTTAGGCATGGTATCTCCACTTTAGGCACTTATGTGCGAAGAGGGTGAACCGGTTTCGAATGCCATGGTAGTCGTTGTTAGGTGTTTCACTTTTGGACCCGCAACCCTGGAACGCTTGGAGCGTTGCCTGTTTCCTGCGTGTCTTCCTCAGGTCACGGTGGGCACCGGAATTGAGTACAGCGGCATGGCCATGTTCAACTCACTGGAGCATCGCGCTTAGCACCTCTCGCCTCACCACATGCGAACAAAGGTGTCTGCTTTGTTTGCGGCAGCAGTTTGCAGTTTGTAGCATCAGTGGGTCGCAAGGGTTTTTGCCAAGTCCTATTTTCGGGAAAAAATGACCCTGCTTGTTGACGTGTCTGTGCTGACACCTTGCAAGGTTGTACCTGCTTACTTGATGGGATTTGGTGCACCCACTTTTTGCATTTTGCAAATTCCTCTTAGTTACGCCCATGTGTCCTTCAGTTTCCGCAGCCATGCTATTGTTGCAGCAGATCTTGGAGCAGAGTGTCCCTTGAGGCGCTGTTGCTTCACTCTCTTCCTCTGCATCTCAGGAGGGGCCGTGCCGTAGATGAAGATGCCTTGCTCACAGGCCAAAATCAAAGCATCGGCCAGAGTCGACGCATTTTGTGTCCGGCTTTCTGCCTAGGTATTGCCCATTCACGTGCACCAAATTAGTACTGTACGGTTCATGGTGGGGTCAGCTGGAGAACTCAGTTGTAGTATGTGTGGGTGGGCATTTTATCCGCCAACAGCTGAATGCTTTGGGGTCTCAGTCCAGATAGGCTCCGGGGTGGTCCGGGGTGGCTCTGAGGTAAGGTTCCGCAAATTTTCGCGAGGTTCTGCAAGGTTCCGCGAGGGCTCCGGGGTGGTCGGGCTCCGGGGTGCTCCGGGGCGGCTCTGCGGTAAGGTTCAGGAGGGTTCCGCGAGGGTTCTGAGGCAAGGTTTTGCAGGGTTGAGCGAAGGTCGAAGAAAAGTGCCGCACGCTGTTGGGGATGTTACCTGAGCTTGTGTTTTCTACATCATTTGCCTCAACCCAATGCCGGTCTGGAGTTCGGCACGGATGGCCCGTCATATTTGCCAGCGGGAAGCTGTGGCAGCCAATCTGTGTGTTGTTCGGGCCGTGGGCCGTCCAGCCCAACAGGGCGCGGCGTGCCGCGGCTCGCCCCTGAAAAAGGCTTTTGCAAGCGGAGGTCATTGGTCCACCTTTGGGAGTCGTTATTCATATCTTCGGGACTGAGTAAGTATGTTGTGCACATCGGGCCGCGTGACTTTTGCCCATGTTCCTGAAATCACTGTTGTTTGGCCGTTTCCAACTTGCAAGGGCGCCATGCTAGTCGCATTGCCACAGGCAAGCACATTTCGTGCGAATGTCAGGAGGGATCAGCTGGGTGGAAGTGGTCAACGTTCTGGAAGCTGTGAACCCACTGCTGGTTCCAGTTTTGCTGCAGCCTGAGTGCCGAAAGAGTAAGATATTCGCAGCATTCCTAAAGAGATTCACAGACTTGCTCGCCACTCTTTTGATGCACTTCTGGTTAGCTGACGAACTGACCAATGGCTAGCACGGCCTAGCATTAATACAATATCGCTACAGAGCGGGGCCGCAGTTGGCGATTGCCCCCCGCCCCCCCCCCCTGAGGTCGCTGTATGTCGCGTTCGCCGTATTCTGCGTTCTCAACATTGCAACCTGACTTGGCCAGATTTAGCAGCTTTCGGAAGTGCACAGTACGCCGTTGGGATCTACATAGCCCTCATCAGCTCAATCTTTGGCTCACATGCATGGAACAGAAGAATATTATTCTCGACATGGCAGATGGCGAAGCCTGGTTGACATGCATCTGAGTCGTATTTCAGCGGATTGTTCAAGGCCTTAGGCTGACCTGATCCAGCACGTGTAGTTTGTTGCGGAGCTCCCGTGCTGTTTGCAATTTTCAGTGCAGTGCAGGTGACAGGAGTCTTCGTGGAGCGATCCACAACCATGCGCCAGATGGATGAGGAGAACATGATGCCACTCGAATAGCACTGAAGCTTCGTCGGTTTTTGATAGCAACGTGCCTGAGTGAAGGATGCTTGGCTTGCAAGCACGATGTGTGCTGCATACCTCATGTGGATTCTTGGCAAGGTTCGATGAGCTGGAATCCCGCTGCTTGGGTGGCAAAGGAAGGCGATGCATTTTCTCAGCCCCTCCATTTGTTGGTGTGTAGGAGCTGAGATTTGGTGGAAGGATTGCTGGTTGGGCAACTTACGGCCGGGGTTTGCGAGAGCGAAGGGTGTTTGAACGGATGGGGACATGTTGTTTTTCTCGGTCAGCAGGCACTAACCCACATTCAACACAAAAGAACTATTCCGGCGGTGGGCTATGCGTAGTAACCTTGAAACGTGTGGGATATGATGCTGCTCATTTCCATGGCGAAAGAAGTGCCTAAACGCATATAAACATGTTTGGTTTGCCTTGCCGGCCTGGGATTTGTCTGCTTTTCAAGGGTTTCCAGGATCCAGGGCCTATATTCGTGGCCACTCGTGAGCGGATCATTTGAACATAGGGACTGGTCAATGATTCCGTGCGCATTTGCTTGGCAAGGGTCACTTAGGCGTTGGAATGTCTGACGCGACTGCATCTAAGCCCCTGAAGACCAAGAAAGTGCGATCAAGGCTGTGTGCCAAGGGACACCCCACCCCTTCAAAGTAGTCATAGCGATGGCCCATCATATTACGGTATCACAGAAAAGGCTTGTTTCCCACGCGCTATTCAGTGGCACGGCACATAGACCAAGACGGGGGCCTCGACCCAAGCACCCGAGGCAAAAAATGGCTCAGAGAGATTCGGGTGCTCTTCCAGGCAGCTGACAGAGATGGCTCTGGCCAAGTGGAATGGCTAGAGTTCCAATCAGCAGCCTAGCAGCAAGACTTTGCGCGAAAATCAAGGGAGCACTTCACGAACTGAATTTGACCATAGTGTTGCCCTCGTTAATTTAAGCTGAAAAGGGGGATCGGAAATAGTTCCCTGGGGCCTTTCCCGAAGAACTTGCTGGTTTTCTAATTGGAGCTTCCTTGGAGAAACATTGGAGGAGGGTGGAAGAAATTCTGATTTTGCTGGTGACATGCCAGCGGGGCCACTGCACCGGCTTGGTAGCTTGGACTGGGTTGTCAGGTGCTCTTGTTGGAAAGCCTTGGTGAACAGTGCACGGCAGACTTGACTCGAGCGTATGCACCTGAGCTGTGGGAGGCCTCATGTTCAGTTGCGGGAAAGGGTCAAGGAATGTTTCTTGAAAGTGCTTGAGTTTGAATGGTTCTAGGCAAACTTTCATCTACTGAATGGGCAGGAGGTGGAGGGAAAACCATATGTGACAAGAAAGTCGCATGAAAACCATCAGAGCTGCTGATTGAATGGGACCAACACCTTTTGGTTGAAGCGATCCCTTTTTGAAGCCACCACGCCCCTGCCCAATGACATGTGCATGAAGGATGGCCATGTTCAAGGAGCATCCGTCAGAGAATCAACTTGTCCAAGTCTCTCATGTGGTGAGACGCGGAAAACTTTGCCAGGAGCATCCATGCAAAGATTCCATTTAGGCGGCGACTTCTTGCTGATTTTTGAATGCGTGTTTCTTTTTTTTGGGTGGGGGCACCACAGTTGTTGATTGGCAGCCCAGCTTCAGGTCATGGGCGACTTCCATGCGCAAACCTGCATGAAGAACCTGGGTTTTGATACTACCCGGGTCAGCCCAGCGCAGCTGTGGTCTCTCATCGACTATGTGCCTTGGCGCTGGGAATTGCTTTGACGTCTCAGTCTGGAAAGGAACAGGATCCTAACAAGTCACGTGCGGTTTGCCGTGATTTGCCACGTGGTCGACACAGACAGCCACAAGGGGGTGTGGTGTCGCAGCAGCAGGCGCCCATACAACAACTTCAAGTGCACAGAGTGGCAAGGGTATTTGGTATTCAAAATTCGGAGGCCCTTTGCTGTTGCCTAGAGCCTACCTCCAGCATGTCAAAAGGCATCTTCAGCTGCTGAGGACAACAGTGGTTTGATCGACATTGACGAGCCCGCACCTGAGCAAGTCAGACCCCTGCGCGTTCCCGAGGATCTGGTCCACTGGTTCTGGCGCAGCTTCATGTATGGGCAAGTGCAATTCCAAGGTTTGCAGATGCATTGATGAAGCTGCAGGGCGTAGCTCACAGCATTGACATTGCCCGGCTGCGGCACGATGTGACGCTTGCCCAGAGTATAGATTGTGCATGAAAGGACAATCACGAGCCATGAGGTGCCAAAATGGTGACCCGGAGCTTGCGAAAGGGCTGATGGCACAGTTTCCGTTTCCGCGTGTTTCCCAGTCCCAGTTGAGCAGCGCCAGAAACCCTGACAATACAAAGTAGTAAAGGGGGGTGTCCTATAGAATCCCCGCGAAAGCCAAAACGCTGGCCGCGAAAGCTTGCGAAAGCTTATCGCGAAAGTAACCAAAGAAGGTCCTGCTGCGAAAGACCCGCGAAAGCCTGCATGCTGTGTGACGCTCCGCCGCGAAAGCGTCGCGAAAGCAATTCTAAAGAAACCAAAGCCCGCGAAAGCAAAACATGGGGTCGCGAAAGCATCGCGAAAGGGTCCGCGAAAGCAAGTTTATAGGACCGCTTTTTACACAAGAGTATTTGGCACGGCTCAGTTGTACTTCCTTGCTTTTGCAAACCGTTTTGCCTGGCAGTGGCGAACGGAGCAGGGTCGGGGCAGCTGGAGGCAAGCTTTCGCGAATCTGAGGGCGAAGCTTTACAAAGCCATTTCCTCCTTTTCCATCTTTTGCCGCTTGGCCCTTGGGGAAGGGCTTGGGCCAGTTCGGATTTTGAGACAGTTGTTATGTGGTTTCGGTGGAGGTTTGAGAGGCCTTGAGCTCGAGGTAGAAAGGCAACTGAGCCAAACTTGCAAATTGTGTGGCGAATATGCATTTTTTGATGGTGGTGCGCTTCTGGCGCTTCTCCGCCACCTTCAGGCAACGACCAATTCGCGGAGGTAAGAAATGAGCTGTGTACTACGAAGCTGCCGAGGAAGTTGCTGGGCGTCGCGTGGCAAGCAACCAGGGACCGGATTGCATGTTTGATATGGGATTGCTTTGGGCTTACGGGGGCGCAAGGCCCATTTGCAGGGAGGTCCACATTCTCAGACCAACAAGACAATATGAGCATGAAATCTTTGTGAGAACCATTGCACGGGCTCCAGGACAAATGCGCTAAGCTAAAGGTCCATGGTTGATAGCAGCCCAGTTCATGGCGGCTTCATCTAGGGTACCCTAATCTGACACACAAAGGCAGATTCCCTTTGGCGGGCATCTCATTGCCATGCAAAACCCGTGACATAGTCATGCACATTGAAGACAGGGTATGAACAACACATGGTTGCAACAGATATTGCTGGTCCAGAGCGAGAATATTGGACCAGGCACATTGTCACCTAGTGTTGTTGCATCCAAGTTGCGTAGTAAAACACCTCGTCTAGACACTGCAAATAATTTTGCCGCTGCACGACTACACCTTTGCTGGTGTTCACCGTTTTGCTTACTCGCCTTTCTCGCTCATCCAAGGCTGCTGCCTCCCCAGAGCGCGTGCTGATATGAGCTGGCGTTGCATGGATGCAGTCAACCGCTTTTTCAGACAATTTGGTAATGCACCTTTGGGAAGATGGGGTGATGTGCACGTCAAGCAGGACCATTATTCAAGATCCGCTGGGGCACAGTTCTTTTTTTGTGTGGTTCATGGAATGCCTTTTGCCAGATTTCAATTTATGGCTCATGCATGCGCATGTTTTCATACATTTGTCAGTGTCCCTCAATCACAGGCGCAGAAAGATGACAATCAGGGATTTCAAGCAGACCGACAAGTTGTTGTTTTTCTAAGTTGGCGCAGCTTCGCCAAGTGTGAGGTATACGATTGGTTGCCTTTAGCTGACACCGCCGACGTCGAAGTGCTTGGTCTCCTTAGGCAGCCCCTGGAAGCAGGCCTGTTTCTATTGGTGCGGGTGCAAGCGCGCCTTTGGCACCTGTTATGCGAATATCCGAGCCGTTCCATGTGCGAATTTGGAGGACTCGCATTCCACCATTGGGACCAGGGTTCTGTAATGTGAAGGCACATGCACACCATCAGCTTATGTTGTTCCAAGAGGTCCGTTGGCCGTTGTGTAGATTGTATTGCATCAGGTTGTGACGGTGTATAATTTGTGTTTGCTGCCGGTTTGGCTTGCTTCCTTGCAGCTCAGGGTTTGGCTTCCTGCTTCACCTTGCCATTGTAGAGCCTGCGCAAAGCATCAGTACCTTCAGGCTAGCTTGGGAGCCTGACATTCTTCGTACGTGAAACAAGCCAGTATGTTGGGAAGTTGGGAAGAGGAAAAGTGTCATCGCTTTAATTGAATGAACTCGTCTTGATGGATTATATATTGCAGCGTTTTGCACAGGTTAAGTATTGATCTCGGTTTGTTGGGTTTACGATTGTCTTAGACTTATTTCGCGCTGATTCAGAACGGTGCCGAGTGTTGGTGTGCCAATTATTGCTTAGGCGCTGGTTGAATTTCCTGGTTGAGATACAGTATCTTGTTCCTTGTGTCCACTTCTCGTTGCGTAGTCAACAAACTTGTTGGGACACATGACGATTCCTATTATGCACGGCATATCGTGCCCAGCAGTGAGAGCAGTTGTCGCTGTTGTTTAAGGTTCGCGCAACAGTGTGAGCTCAGAGCAGCGGCTGAAGCAAGACATGTGCAGGGGTTGTGTGGAGGAGGTGCATGCCTGAATATCGTGGCCTGACCGGCTTGAACTTGGTGAAACATGATTCCGGGATCCACAAGTCACAAGTCCGAATTTCTATGAAATATGGTGCCAGATTCATGGGGTGCCTGTTTTTCATTCAAGTGCTGTTGGCAGCCTGAGGCCAGCTTTACATACAGTCAGTCACAGGCAAGCAGCGCCGAGCGCGTTTTTCGCCTGGTTTTCGTCCCGGCTGACATGGTCGCCCCCCAGGGCCTGGCCTCGGAGATGGCTGGCCATGAGCAGAAACGGAACATGTTCTGCCGTATCACCATCGGAGAAGTTGCTTGCCTTTGCGCCAACCTCAAGGGATCGGCGCACTGCACTCGCAGACCGCACCTTGCGGAGCAGTCCAGCTGAATGGGGGCCCTCCAGCCTCGGCTCCCAAGCAGGTTGAGTCACCAGCGTTCCTTAGGCAAACTCGACGTTTCCCTTCTTATGCTTATCCTTTCGATGAGCGCCCAGATGCCCACATTGCCTAGGGCGATGCCCAGAAAGGGCAAGGGCCAGGCACATCTCGAGAGAGACTGGGCCGCATGAGGCGCACAGCGTGAACATGTAGTTGGACAATGGCCGGCATGAAAAGCGGTAGTGTCTTTGTGGGTCCTTTTTGCCAGGACTTGAGTGTTGGGAGGAGCTGTGGCAAGAACCGGCCAAACAAGGTGTCAGCTGGCATGCAGGCCTTAGGGCCTGTAGCTCAAAGCTGGGCGCGTCTCACAGATTCAGTGTGAGGTGGCAGACATGTGTTTGCCCAGCTTTGTAGTTTGTGAAATGCAGCAACGCCAAGCGGCAAAATAGAGGCGCGGTCAGGCAATGCACCTGGTGTGTTTCAACTGGCAGAGACCTTCAAAGGAGTCAACTTGCATGACCTGATGCCAGCACAGTACTGCCCACCCAGCGGCTTTCACCCCCGAGCAGATCTGGCATGTTGCGTGTTGAATCAGTTGCTCCCGTCGCATCCTTGGAGGCGCCGTTCCTGGAGAATTCGGCTGGGGTGGCCTTGCGGGTCCTGCGTGGACCATCGACCCCAGGCAAGGAAGCCTGCTGGGAACCTCGTAAGCCCCGGAGATGCGTCGGGGAACTTCCCTGAGACATCAAGATGTGGTTTTGCGCACAATGCCAGCCACAATAACACCAACATGTTGGCATCCGCGGATCTAGGCGGTCCCCGCGTGAAAAGCTCTTTGAAACGGCAAGGGAAGGAGTGCTTGATTGCACAAGGGTCTTGCGTTTGCAACATGTTTGCAATTTTGAAGGGGACAAGGGGATGCAGCGCAGACAGTTGTCTTGATGACCTGAACAGCCCGCGATACTCGCTTGCTCGATTTGACACAGCTACCAGTACATCGAGAGCGCTTGCCCTGGCAACGCAAAAGGTTTCTTTCCCATGCCGTCCTGTGCATTTGCATTTAAAGGAGTTCTCCACGTCTGCAGGTCAGACTTGATCATCCTCTCCATGACGCAGACTGCTTTCGTGCTAGACCATGAAGAGTATGCCAGAGCCCGAGTTCATGACTCTTGCCAGAAGGCCGGGATAGAGAAGTTGGTCCTCCAGAGCCCTTGGCATACGAGTGGCCAGCTTAGCTTCCAGCCAGAATCTAGCCACGTGTCATTGATGAGTCCGGATTGGCATGGGCAGTGCGAAGTCGGAAAAGCTGGCTTATGGACAAAGGTTTTACATTGAGCACATAAACATATGTATATATACATACGTGTGTGTATATACGTATGTACATATGATGAATAAGGGTGCGGCACGAAGCCGCTGGCCAAGGTGCGGTATGCTGCCCGGCGCGCCATCCATCAGTACATCTATGGCTCAGCTGCGAGCTCAGTTGCAAGTGGCCACCATATTTATTGCTTTGTAGGAGGCGGATGACACACTGAACCTGTTTCGCTGAGCGAAATGCCAAGCAGACCTGCCAAACTGGTGGATCCAGTGAGGTTCCAAATGTGCCGTCCTTGCCCACGATTTAAGCTTGATTTGGGTATTGTAGCCGACAAGGGCAGCGCAGGTCTGGCAAGGGCGCACCACGGGGATGGATGTACCTTTGCCAAGAAGCTGGAGGCTGAACCAAGGTGCCCAACAGGAACCCTGTTCACCAACCTGGCACGGAGGGAAAGATATGGAAAGAGGCAGCTGCATGAGGCTGGGCTCAGGTGGCTGCTGTGGCAGCTGCCACGTTCAGCACAGTTGGTGGAGGGTTGCAGGTCGGATCTACAACAGGCCCCTGTGTAGGTCTGATTTGAAAGAACCACAGTGACACGTAGCGACCTTGATTGAGCCAGGAGGGTGTAGGGGATCGTTAAAAGAGGCCGCGGCCTTGCATCGCCTTCTTGTGTCGAAGCCAAGTCGCTGACGCTCTTATGCAGGCCTTCGGATTGCACATGGGAACCACTAGGATGTCCAGAAAAGCGTTTCTCCTTCCCAGTTGCCCAGAAGCCTTTGACACAAAGACACCCTCGTGCTGGGCAGAGCCACCCTCCGGCTTCAAGCGTCCTAGGTAGCAGCTCCTTCAAAGGCCACATCCTATGCGCCAGAGAGCTTTGACATTGTGGGTGCCTCAGGTGCGTGCTATGCACGGAGAACATTTACATGTTGGAATATGTTGGGTTGTATTTGGCAGTTTGGGTTTGCGCCGGCCACAAGGGTCGGGAATTCACACTCAGTCAGGTGAGGCCAAAAGTCTCGGAAGAGGAGACCCAGGCAGTGGTCGTCGCTTGCGAGGGCCGAGTTTGTTTGTGTTGATCCCAAAACTGCAAGTTGCCAGCAATGACACACTCACGAGTAATTTTCATCGTATCCCAAAAAGTGGCACTGATCTGAGACGGCCCCGCGCAGGCTCAATTGGACCAAGAGTTTGAGCAGGAGTTCCTGGTGAACAGAAGGTCGGGCAAGAGCACTTGTGGTTGGCAGTGTCTGAAAATTGGGTGCTGACCACATGGATTTCGGTGTTCTCACAGTGTTGCTTTGGGCTCACATTCTATTTGGGAGGGTTTGGTTACCTGGGCGTTGGTAGTCGGCGGCAGTGGGTGATGAAAGGGTGGTCGGTTGGGTTTGCTTCAGGTTTCCTGGTTGGTTGGTGCGTCGCTCGGGGGAGGGGGGGGGCCGACAACATGCCCAGAGTTTCTTTTTCTACCAATCGACGCCTTTTGCCGCTCCATATTGCAGTGGACTGACCGAAGGCTAGTTGGTGTATTCGTTGTTAATTCTTGACGCCGCGTGCCCGCCAAGGCGGTTGTGATCAAGCAAGGAGGTCATGAAATAGATTCAGAGGGGTGAATCGCACAGAGCACGGAAGCCGTTTTCGCTTTGCGCGCACCGAAAGGAAACATCTCAGGACTTCTGTTGCCAGCATGAAAAAATCGAGCCCCTAGATGCAAGCCCGGTTTCGAGCAACAAGAAAACACAAAACAAAACACTGAAGCTCTTGAAAATAAGCCTGCAGCGCATCAAAGCAGCCAAAACCCACCCATGATTTGTATTCGTTTCATTTTTTGCAACCCGGTGTCCCGCAAATCCGAGCCTGGGGCGGGGGGGGTGGGTGGGTCAATGCTCGCTCCCTTGATTCGATGAGGGCCCTGGCAGATTAGTAGACGATTTCGCTCAAACCAGCTCTTGCCGTGCGCAGCCACTTTGACGTGTCTATTGTATGCTAGATGTACTGTTATGTTGCGTTATCTTAATGTTAATGGCATGCAATGCAACGTAACGCAATGTAATGCAATGCATTGGCATGTGACGGCATGTAACGCTACGTCATGCACATAGTATCTGTTGGTATGTACTGGTATGTGATCCCACAACACATACGTGT